CTAAAAAATTACTCGTAATACTCATAGTTATCCGATTTTTTTGGATTTTGTTCTATATAATTATTTTCTATTCGAGTTATCCAAAAATATGCAAAATCGACAAAAGATATTTGAATTTAAATAATATACATAAATTAGTTATTTTTATCCGAATATATCCACAATATATAAATGAACCCAAAAAAAACTATAAAAATTACATAAATTACGCGACCACACTCGACCTTAAATCTAAATATCTGTAGATGAATATTTGTTTTGAGTACTTCAGGTACCCGTTTATTATATTAATTTTAGCATTTAGATCATTTTTAATAATTTCTTAAAGCTTTCCAATGGTTTTGAGATTTACTATAAATAACTCGTTTACGCTTAAATTTATATCCAATAGTTGTACTTATATTTCTAAAGTAAGTTAATACTGAATGCAAACTTAAGATTAAATAATTTATTTATAGTAAATCTCAAGACCACAAAAAACCGTAGAAACAATATAAAAAAACTATCTAAATGCTAAATACATATTTTATAAATTCGGTAATATTTCAAATATCTTGTTGGTAAGACTAAACTTTCCTACAACGAAAGCTTTGTATCCGAATCATGAACACGAACACAAACACGGAGCTGGTTTAACATTTTTCTTCTTTTTCGTTATATTCCATTGATGAATCTTTGTGTAGATAGTTAATGTAGGTCTAGAGTATTAATTTTAGCATTTAGATAAAAAGCTAATATTTTTTTAGGGTTTTCCAATTGTTTTCAGATATATTATAAATAAGTCGTTTACGTTTAAATTTATATTCGGTAATTGTCTTTACATTTCCAAAGTAAGTTAATGCTACTAAAGACAAACTCAAGATTAAACAATTCATTCATAGTAAATCTGAAGATCACAAAACCTCTAAAACAATATACGAAAACTATCTAAGTGCTAAATAAACATTTTATAAATTTAGAAATATTTCAAATAGCTCGTTACGTCGGAAAGACTGAACTTTCCGACAACGAAAAGATTTGTACCCGAATCTTGAACACAAACACAAATTCGGAGATGGTTTAATCTTTTTTTTTTGCGTTCTATTCCATTGATAAATCTTAGTGTAGATAGTTGATA